GGGGGGGGTATACCCTGAAGAAAAAAAGTTGGTGAACAAAAACTTATACCTCCCGTTTGGATCTTAATTGACGGAGTACTCACATTCAGCGTCTCTACTCTCCATGGGGCCACAGTTGGGAAGTTTTGACATCATGCCTAGAAACTGCTTTTAAGAACTGGGGAGTAGGTTCCAAATGAACTTTTACCACAAGTTGTTCAGCTAAACAGATTGGGCCAAATTTGAAATATTTGAGGACTTTCCAAGGTTCTACGTTGTTTGCTTGGTTGCTGGAAGTCTTGTGTAGGGTCACTTTTTGGGCAGACTTATTGTCTATGGTACATGCATGTATAAAAAATTTGCCCATGCTTAAGTAGATTCATTTTTCATTTGCTTGAAATAACTTTGGTTAAGTTATAAGATTGTAAAGCTCATAGAGCTGGCTGTTGAGCGTTTTATGGGCTATGAAAATATAGTTTACTTATTATTTATTTTAAGAGATATATATTGGTTTCTTTTTGTATCTCTTGACTATATGGGAAAGAAGGAGGTGGGATGCTGAGTGACAAACATTATGATTTTATATATAGTAGCATCTATTTGCTTTTGTCTGTGCAATTTACTTCATGTTATGCAAAGTTTACTGTTCTCAATGTGCTGTTTTTTTGTGTAAATGTTTCTGTGTTCATGTTAACTTTATCTTTAAAAATTTTAACAGACCATTAAAAAAAATTCTCACAAGCTTTTTAAGGCAAGACGTACACTCCCGTAAAATTTTTCAAAATGAATGACTTTTCTTCAATTTCATGTAATTGTGCAAGAAGTTCACTGGTAAATAGGATGTACTAGGGGTGAATTTGTTGAATTTTTCCAAAAAATGGGTCTCTGTGGCGGCCATCTTGGATTTTCAAACCAGTTTCTTAGTGCAGAAGAATTTCATAGTAAATATTGAATTATCAGCCTGAAATTTGGCACACAAGTACAAACCTATATGAACTGGGGACCCATGAAAGGATTTTGACCTATCTTTAAAACTAAAAATGTTAGCCCAAAGTCATTGGACCCCCTAGAGTCAGTTGACGAAATTTCAAGGTACATATTACAAAAAAATTGAATATTTCACCAATATTTCCCAATTCCCTTTCATAGATCCCCAGCATCGATCTTAAAACACCTGTACACCAAATTTGAAGCTTCTAGCTTCTGTAGTTTTTGAAAACTCCTTGCACCCAGGTCACATATGTCAAAAAGTAGATTTTGAGAAAAACAGAAAAAACTGGGATTTTTAAAAGGATTTTTAGAGCAATTTGTACTTTTCAAACGGCCTTTTAGATCATTTAGGGTGTTTTTTCAACAGTTTCTTCATTTTGACTCCATAGAACAGATGTCAAAGGATGTTTTTCCGCAAAAAACCGCAAAAAACAAAAGTTGGATAGTTTGAAAAATTGTATCGATATTGCCTTGGATCGCCGACCCGGGTCTTCCTTTAAGGCAGCAATTACATATTTGTTTGTGTTTTTCTGTTTTCTTTTCAGGCTACAGCTGATTGACAAGTTCAATGTAGACCCGGAGATCTTTGTCTTTCTCCTGTCCACCCGGGCCGGGGGACTGGGCATCAATCTGACAGCTGCCAACACTATCATACTGCACGACATTGACTTCAACCCTTACAATGACAAACAGGCTGAGGATCGCTGCCACAGGCTGGGCCAGAAGAGGTATGGAAACTGGCAGACACTTCCTGCTGTTCTCCTACAACTTTACCGTAACCTGTATGTGCAAAAGCATGTTCGTGTAAAAGTATCCTCACCTTCTGGAATTCCCCCCCCCCCCTCCCAAAATAGCTTTTAATAATAATGTGAATTTATATTGTGCCTAATGTCTTGAAGGCTGTAATTGCTGTACATTGCAGAATTATCATCTCAATACAATGGACAAATCGAAAGACAGAAAATGTATATTGTGAGGATTCAAGGAACCCACATGCATGTGCACGTGCGCGTGCACACACACACACACATACACGCACACACACACACACGCACATATACATGTGTGCACACACACATACACACAAATACAACTTGTATACATACACACAAATACAACTCACTCAAATATATACACACTTACGCACATTAAAACACACACACATACACACACGCACACACGCACGATTGCACATTTTCAAGTACAAAACTACGGATAACCCCAATACATTGGGGTTTGAAAAATGTGTTCAATGCATCCCCTATTCGGGTTAACTGGTAGCGAAAAATTTATAACCCCTTAATTGCCTTATTATGCACCTGCTGTATCATGAAAATGCATAATTTTTAGCGCTATTTCGTACCAAGTACGTCATGGAAGTTTGTAAAATTTGACGCCCCTGGTTGCCTATATGACGTTACATGTAGGTCACGCTCATATCCTAGATCTAATTTTTCTGTACAGTGTTTTAGCCACAAGTGCTGCGTAGATTCGTATTCGGGAATAAAAGACACATATATTGGTACCGAATTTGCTCGTATTACTTTACTGCTAGGCTTTCAAGCGGTCGATAAACACAGATCTAGGCTTGCAGGTGGCCACGTGCTCTCATAAAACAGAAACATCGAAATGACTTTAAAAAGGCAAATAAATTCACCTTAGGACTTACATTTACAGGTTATTCGAAATTATGAGTAAGATGGGAGGAAATGGAGAATAAGAAAAGTAAGAAAAGTGACAATCGAACACTCAGTGTCCAAAATATTTCACGAGGATGCTAGATCTTGACTGTGCACCTACTAACACTGAGATATTAGGCTGCTGTCCTGGGTAACAAGCTCAGCTAAAAATCAGTGCTTACAGTAGGAACACATACCCCCTGTTAACGAAAGGGTTAATATATTTGTCTAGGAATGGCAAATTGTTTTAGCTATCCGTGATTTCGAGTTTTCGTTGTCCATGTTGTCTGTGCCCAACCGTATTTGTATTTTTCCTTAAAGTATTTGCTGCTATATATGTGTGTGTGCCTTAAGAAAGGTACCAAAAGTCGGATTTTGACCATTTTGAGTTGAGACTTATAGGAAATGCAATGCTGAACACAGGGGTCTTTGAGGTTTTTTTTTAGATATCTCAAGTAGTTTTTGAGATATTGCACATTTTGCGAGGTACGGTATAAAAATATAGTTTTGAGAAAATGAGCTTTTAAGTTTAACAAACGTGAGAACACATAAAAACTTTTTAAAAAGATGTTTTAAATGTATTTATTCGTGGAAAATTCATTTCCAATTTGGCATTCAGGTGATATCAATATCATGAATGGAATTCAATTTTAAAACATAGTAGGGAAGAGAAAACATGCTTCAAGAATAGATTTTAACACCTTTTAAAAGCAGTTTTCATTATTTGTTTTTATTATACCCTACCTTCAAAATAATTCAAAATAAAATATTTAGAAGTCAAATCAATGAAAACCCTTTGAGCACATTGTAAGAAATTGGTGGATCCATATTTTTAAAAAATGGAAACACATTTTGGTCAAAAATGTGATTTTTGTCACTTTGAGCCTGTAGCTCGAAACGGTCTGGGGTGACTTTTGGTACCTTTCACACACACATTTTTCTAAACTCAATGAGGCTTAGTAAAAAGTTACCATTTTTTTTTTAGATGGTTATTGATTCCAAGGTTGGGGGGCTAATTTAACCTTTCTGTTCTCCACAGAGAAGTGAGCATCTATAAACTGATTTGTGAGGACACTGTGGATGAGGCAATGCTGCGTTGTGCCAATGATAAGTTGGCTCTCGAGAAGGATCTCACGGAGTCTAACAGTGGTAAGACAACTGTGATTCAAGCTCATTGTCAAATTTCCGACCCGCCGATTATAGCTGGACCAACCGATTTTTTTGGCTGGGTATTTTTAAACTCGGGAATAGTGTCGTAATCAATTGTTATGTGTGGATTTCGTGGTGAAAGTTATCTAACTGTTAAATTGAATTCTTACTTCTGCTAGAAGATGAAAGTACTGTCGAACCCATTGTCGAGAAGAAAAATGTTTGTCTTAGAGGGGTGGACGTCTTGGACAGGTTCGTTATACATGTTATATTGAAAAAATGATTGGGGGGGGGGGGGGGGGGGGTCGTTTGTACATGTGATTGTTTTGGACAAGTGGCTGTCAGAGCAGGTTGGACTTTACTTTCTGTTTGGCTTGGGAATATGGGAGAATTTTGGTCTTTTCAATCGATCCCATTGAAATGAAATTAGCAGCAAGAAGCTGGTCCACCATCAGGTTTTTGCCCCCCAAAAAACAGACATTTTTAAAAAAGCCTTTGACTGTCCTAGATGATGATATTGTAGGGCCATCCCATGGCAGGGATAGGTTGAGCAGTGATGGAAGAGGATGATAGAAACTTCTTAAGTGGTGCGTCAGCACAGAGATAGATCTAGCTTAAAAAAAAATTATTTTTTTTTAGGTGCGTCTAGTAGACCCTGTGAGATTGATGGAGTAGGGGATAGATAAGCTGCCAGACTACTAATCAAAATGTCTCGGGCTTCTTGCCTGGCTTCTGTGGGTCTACTACTTTAAACTACACTTCAGGCAATGTTGCTGTTCCCTGTCTATCGGAATGTGCAGTGTAATATTAGGTAGCGTACACACGGCCTCGCGGGCACTCGTGGCCTTTCGATCGCGTGGTATCGGTGAAATCGTTGTAATTCCGATCGCTGTTTCTTTGCTCTTTTGCTATAAAACACCAAATGCCGCACACCTTGTAAAAGTTCAGCTTTTCCTCGTTGCAATGGTGTAAGTTGTTTATATGTCCGATTATTAGGAGCTGGAGAATCGCCGAGGAAAGCGAAGCCCCTCGCAGTCAGAATGCGTGGACGGCCGGTTCAAAAATTGACACGCGTACATTCAAATGCTTCGCGGAGCGAGGGATGATTAAATACCGTCTTTTCATTGGTGCTTTCCCGTAGGATAAATTTGGCCTTTAGCGTTTAAATAGAAAGCCTTTAAGAATACTGTCAAAATTTTCAAAGCTAATTTTTTACACGAAATATGCAAAATACCGGCTCAAAAAATATTATACTTTAAAGATCAGTTTATTGCCTATTAGAATAAAGTAATTAGCGTGGAATTATTTTTCATCAATCCTTCCGCGAGGCTCGGAAAGCATGTGACCCCCCCCCCCACGCGGGGTGCACTATAGTATAGAGCCCACTCGCTCGCCGCGGGGGCCGGTGCGACGCCTGCCAGGTCAACGCTCGCTGTTTTTGTCGAAATAACAACAGATCATCGTGTTTGAGGCGATAAAATACTGATTTGATATTATCTCAGTCTTTACAAAAAATTAGGCTCCATATATTTGTTATAGTGATTGTACTCTGTTAATGTGGAGACGTTTAGTGCACTTTGTACTCTTTTATTATCTGTCTAACATGGGGTTGCAGCCAGTGACTGACTTTAACAGATTTGATCAAATTTTAAACAACTACCATTTTCTTAAAAATTGACTGAGAGGTTAAAGAATGGTACCAAATTGCTCAGTGGATATAGGCCTTTCAAATGGAACAGATAAATTTGGCATACAGCTATTTTAAAAATTTAGTTTCTGGTACCTAGTAATATTAGGTTAGGCTCCTTTTATCTATCACTCTAAAGACGTCTGCTTGATTCCCATGCAGGGAAGATATGTTATTGAGTATCTCTGCCGTTCTCCCGAGATTTAATATTTTGCACACTTGAGTTTGGTTGACTTTAACTCAGTGCCTCTGAAATTATGTCAGTTTCTTAGAAAGACATGAATCATCAAAAAGTTGTTCAACATATGTACTAAGTCCAGAAAGCTAACTTTTTCAGGAGGGAGAGAAAACTATTCTTTTTACAATTGTAGGCTATCTCTACATTGTGGGGTTTTAAAAATGCTTTTTCAACATTTAGGATTTGAATTTCGACGAAATATTTCTTGAGCAGGTGCCATGTGTACAATCCTGCTCTAGGGTGGCTATTTTGTTGCTGCTATTGGTACAGCTACTACCACTGCCTGTCAATACCGGCTCAATACCACCATCCTCTTCTTTCTGTAGGACTAGTTTGTTACGTCAGTTTTTTGTAATGTACACATTGTATTATTCTTGGCCTCTGGATGCCTGTATCAGTCTGTTGTTTCCAACTTTCCCTTCTGTTATTGTCTTTTTCTTCCCAACCCTAAATCCTCTTTGCTGTAGTTGGGCTTCTCTTCAGGTGAAACAAATTTTTCAAAAATTGGTTTTGTTTGGGGTTGGTCGATGCTACTCTACTTCATTACTCTCTCTTTATTTTCTGTCCATCTGTTTGGCTCTTTTCTTTCTCTAATTGAGTCCTGCTTCTTTCCACAAACAACAAAATGAAATTGTACACAGATTGAGGTAGATAAGGAGAGAAAGGGGGAAGAAGGGATGTGATGTGTTGATAAGACATTATGTAAAGTCAGGCACAGATAACATGAACACAGAAAACTTCAAATCACGGATTGCTTGTACGGTTTGCCATTCCTCGGCTGATGTCTCTTTAATTTTTCGTCAGTGGTTTTTAACCCGAAGTATGGATGTGTGTTGAACACACTTGACAGCCTCTAAAGTGTTTCAGTTGTCCATACCCGACTGTATTTCTATTTTGTGTCACAGAAGCTGATGAAAACACACTGTTACTATTTCTTATGGGAGGATCAGTAAAGTATACTTTGCCTTGCCTTATCTTCTTGCCCTTTTTTCCGGTCCTTGTTGCTTGTGTTTGGTGGGTACTTTGATGTGGTATGCTCCTTTTTTACTATCAAATATTTGTTGTCCTTATCTCACCTACTTTTTTTTTTGCATGTTACTCTCTAATATCAGTTCTAATCTTTGACACGTGTTTGACATATTTATGTTATAAGTGCCGTAAAATTGACTAAATCTGAAAAGGAAACTCAGTTCCTGTTGATGTGTCGTATTTCTCTTCTACTTGAACCCAAAAAATTACTGTTTTTGGTGTACATTTTTTTCAGAAGAAAATGAAGAGGACGCCAAAGATGTTGCCAATCTTTTGAAGGAGGTGCTAAAAGCAGGCCAGGTGAGGAAGGCGAAGGAGGCTGGCCAGAGTGGCAGTGTGGAGACTGCCAAGTCCACGTCATCTTGACCTTTGTTTCCTGCTATGACGATCACTGTCAACAGACACACATACACACAACTCCTGTACAGAAACCTGCATGTTGTAATTGTATCTGTAAATAAGCTTTTGTTATTCGGCTAGTAGACACTGTTGGTGGCATTGTGAACATTTCTCAGTTTGACCAGATGCACATGGTTAGATGGTGTTGGGATGGAAGACACTTTATATGTTGAACTTTGTGATCTTTTTTCCTACCTAGAACCTGTGTGTGTTTTACAGAAAAATAGGGAAATTGCTTTTCCAGGATACCTTCTTGATCTCATTGTCCAGGTTCATGCAGATGTAACTGGTAGGAAAGGATGTTAAAGCCTCTTGTCTTACTGAAGGTAGGGTTTTCTCATATTGGATAAAGAATTCTAAAGCTAGGGGGTCTTGTGTGCAGACTGTGCAGTCATGGCACCTTGGCAGTTGTGAGTCGAAGGAGAGCAGAGAGTTTGATCAGCCTTCTCAGGCAAGCTGCCTGACTGAAGCTTTTAGTTAGTGCATTATGGAGGATACGGGTCTGTACTAATAATGATCAAAGCCTTTGATAAATGTTGTAATTTTTAAAGACTTTTTGAAAAGCGTTTTGGTTGAAAAATATGACAGACAAGTTGTTCTTTCAACTAATGGGGAAAACTAGTGTTTGCAAGGGAAGAAAAAGGTTTGAGAGACCAAAAAAGATTTTCTGTTGTCACAGTGCATTAGGGGAAACATATTGCATTTATTGATGTCTCTGTAGAGAAGGGTGGTTCAATTTTGTCATATCTAGTTGATCTTTCTTGTTAAATGCCGAATCATCTTGTTGCGTCGGTCCAAGATTCCAATCTTTATACCTCGTACTAGAACAGTTGTTTTGCAGGCAAATTAAATGGTATGTGGGTGGTTGGCCGGTGCTCTGGTGTGGTTTGTTCCTTCTTTCCTATCAAACATCTATCTTTCTTATCTCTCCTTTTTTTGTGTTTGTTACTCTCTTGTAACACCTCTAATCTTTGGCACTTATATAACTTTATTGTGTTGCAAGTTCCGTAAAACTCTTGCTAAAACTAAACTAATTTAAATGATATTTCAAAAATTACGTTATATGAGCATTTGGTCAGTTATTCCTATTTTGTCATAGTAGTAGTAGTTCCAATTTTGTTAAAAGGTTTTGTATGCCTCTGGATCTGGTATAGACATTGAGAGTAGGGCTACTTTTTACGTTTTCGGTTAATTGGTTCGTTTAGCCCAGCTTGAGTTTGTTTGTACAAGTTTATTTCCTATTTTTGAAAACAGAAGTTATCTAGGTGATAACAAAAGCAATAATACAAGATGGAATCACTTTCCCACTTCCCAAGGGCAGAAAATATGAAAGAAAACCGCTAGTTTCCTGGCGCTCTAGCATCCAAATCAAAGAGAAAGCACACTGAAATTTGCAAGTGATGATGGCATAAGTTTAACACCCCCCCCCCCCCCCCCCCCCAACTAAATGACAAAAAAACTGCAAAAAAATCAGAATCTCCCTTGCCACCTCCTTCCAAAAAAAACCTCAAAGCAAAACTTATCTCAGGCGAGCCGCTCCCTGCAGCTCGCAGTCAGAAGCCACTACGTTCCTTTACGACTTCAGTGTCAAATGGCAGTAGCTGAAAAACGGGTCTCTTTTCAGGGAGTTCATTCATTAGATGAAAAACTATCAAAATAGGTTCACTCCTTTTGATTTAATAACCAATTTAGTGATATATATATATGTATATATATTTTTATATAATATCCATTTTAGATTTTGTACCAAAAGAGGGCCCATGCATAGTGGGTTTACCCCCGTCGGAGATAAAGAGTTTTAGCAGCCCTAAGGTTGTGACTACCTCTGGTTTTGACCTCTGAAGGGAATGTTTTGTGTCCTTCAATTTCTCCCGTCCTTGTCAAGACAACCACTTTTCTTCTCAACGGTGGGTGGACACCTTGGACAATTTTGACAGGATTTGAATGTAAGGGAAAGCAACCACTTAAATGTTTGGAGAATTAGAAAGCAACTTTATGAGCGTAAACAGAATTGAGAAAGCAACTGTTTGAATTTAAGGAAAAATAAGGAAAGCAATTTGTTGAATGTAAGGAAGATAACTTTGCATTTAATCCTTTTCAGTTTCCTTTCCTCTCAAATTCTGGAACAAGTTTTTAAAAAAGGATATGAATTTGTCTAAGTTGTTGTAATACTGTAATTTTGTTGTTGTATTTTTTAGCTTGCTACTCAAACCAGTTGTGCAAGATGTCACGATGCTTTCTTTGGAAGAATGTTAATTTGTTGTTATTCAATCGTGGGTGGTTGGGGGGCTCTGGTGTGGTTTGCTCCTTCTTTCCTATCAAACAACTATCATCTTTATCTCCCCTCTTTCTTTTTTATATTTGTTACTCTCTTGTAGCACCTCTAATCTTCGGCACTTATATGACCTTGTGTTGCAAGCGCCGTAAAACCTCTACTAAAACCAAAAACCTGTTATTCAATTAAAAAAAAAAAGTTTAGGTGCTTGTTTGTTGTTGAGTAGCCCCACAATGGCTCTTGCCACTCCCCAGTAACTCCTTGGGCTAGCCTGTTCATTCCAACTTACCATTTTAGCTCTTTGGGTAAATTGTAGTGAATTGTTGGGAAAGAAAGTTGTCAGGAAATTCTGTCGCTTGTGTTATGAAATATGCTTTTGTCTTGGCTTAGTGCTTTGTTTGAAGCAAAAGAAGTATAAGGTATTTGTCAGCCCAGCCCATCATTGCTTATGTTTTTGTCTGATACTCTTATTCCTGTCAAAATTTCATTCTTTGTTCTCGATGTGTGAAGGAAGGCTATTTTGCGAAAGTGAATGAATATTTTTGTAACTTTTTAAAATATAAGACCACACAACGTTCATCATGTCTGTGAATAGTTTTGTGTAGTGTTACAATAAAAAGTTTCATTGTTTTATGATGAAGATTCGAATTGTTATTGAGTCCTTTGTGAATTCTGTTTTGTTTTATGTACAAATATCTTTGGGTTAGCTTAAAATATGCATTTCTTATTCTCTATGTATAGAAATGGCCAGTGGGTGGTTGGCGGGTGCTCTGGTGTGGTTTGCTTCTATCAAACATCTGTCGTCTTTATCTCCCCTCCTTTTTTTTGTGTGTTTGTTACTCTCTTGTAACACCTCTATTCTTGGACATTTTATTGTGTTGCAACTGCCGTAAAACACATACTAAAACTAAAGAAATGGCCAACAAAATGGACCCAATCATTGTAATCCCCCTACCTGAGGAAAAGAAACCTGTGCCAATGTCACAACTTTAGAACAATCAGCTTTAGAACAAACTGTGTATTCAAGCAAGATAATACACCACATCATTCTAAATAGCCTTTAAACTGAAGAAATACTAGCCGAAGCGAAGTATATGCGGGATTCAGAGCGGGACGGTGGGTGTTCGGTGGGTGATCTGGTGTGGTTTGCTCCTTTCCTATCAAATCACTTATATGACCTCTTTACGTTGCAAGTGCTGTAAAATTCTTACTAAAACTAAACTCAGAGCTGGGCGTTACACAGTGGAGCAAATCTGTACTGCATAAACCTCCCAGAGAAATGCCTACAGCTCCAGAGAGCACTTTCACAGTTTCATAGACTTGACAAAAGTCTCTTTAATAAGAATCTGGCATGACTGGACCGTGTCACGTCCTTATTTAAAGATTGAATGGGGGCTCTCGTGGTCTAGGGGTTACAGTGTTCACCTCTCATTCAATAGATCTGGGGTTCAAAACCTGACAGCGATGTATGCAGTTGCGAGCGCTGTAAAGCCTCTACTGAAACTAACCGACAGCTATTGAAAAATTTTTCCTTTCACCCCCTTTCCTGCTCTCTATCCATGTTCTGTCGTTGCTTTCGTCTCCACTTTCTGCCCCTCGGACTCCCCTTTGTCCCATTCTCTAGGCTCCTGACTCTTTCTGCAGCCTGTCTTTAGGCCATTTCCAAAGAGGGGATATTATCATGTTCTCATGCACAGTAGAATTGTAAATGGGCTAATTTATCAATGTCATTCTCAAACTGTGCTGGAACATATAGGGGGAACTGCTGCTTTTTTCCCTCATCCTCACTATCGTCATTTTTCCTCTACTTCTTTTGTATGTTTGTCTCTCTCTCTCTCTCTCTCTCTCTCTCTCTCTCTCTCTCTCTCTCTCTCTTGTGAACTGCTATTTCCGGGGTGCCCTGATAGTCGAAGCAGACTTTGTGCTGTTGAGGCTAGAGAGGTGAGAAGAGTAAGCCTGATTCCCCGTTTGGACGTCTCGGTTGACATCTGCCCCTTGGCGCTCATATGACTTTAAGCAGTTGCGAGCGCCGTAAAACCTAACTAAAACTAAAACTTTTCTGCTAGTCTTTGGCTCCTTCTTACCCTTACTGCTGTCTTTCAAGCCACACCCTTAATTTAATGGTAGGTAAGATCTAATATCTAGCCTTCTCAGATAAAGGCGAAAATTCTTGGAGGTCCTATGTGCAAGTTGCGCATGTTAAAGATCCCTTGATCCTAAAATCGATAAGAGTAGGCTCTGGCCGCTTGCTTGATGTGTCCAGTACGCTCATATGAACTTATACAGTTTCGAGCGCCGTAAAAATGTACCACCCCCCAAAACAAAACAAAAACAACAAAAACAAAAAAACAAAAACAACAACAACAACAAAGACAAAACAACAAAAACAAAAACAAAACAACAACAACAAAAACAAAACAAAACATGGGCACCTTGTATTCAATCGGAGCTCCCAAGTAGACGTGTTCAGCATCCATACCAGTTTCTCTTGCGCACTGTACGTGCACTTCTCGAGTGGAGCCCAGGGCAAGTGCCACGTCATACATGATACACTATACACCAATGTTAGTGACAGTGGTCAAAAGAAGCGCCCTAAACTCTTCTTTTCTTAGATTTCTTGGGTTTTGCCTAGAATGGCTATAAAAATAAAATAATCAATAATTGCTAGGACACATTAAAGTACAAAATGTTCAAACCTTAGTCTTTCAATTTCTGTAAATATCTGCACATTATTTTTTGGAGGTTTCCAAACCCACAATGCGAAGGGGGATGTCTTTTAATGGAATACAATTAAGACTTAGTAACACCACCAAGGCAGCGTTTTGGATCAACTCCTAGAGGAAGCGAAACTCTCAGTGGTCCTGGACTAGCCTGGTCCCTGGGCAAGCCTGGTCCCAGACACCCCCCCCCCCACACACACACAAAAAGAAGAAAAAAAAGAAGAAGAAGAAGAAGAAGAAGAAAATCCGCTTGCTTGCAGACTATTAATAATTTTCTCAAATGCAAAGAAAGTACATGTCATTTTTTGTAAGCTATAACAACAGTAACACAGCACTACAAAAAGATTTTCCAGGAAACCCCTTGCTATCACTGCACCTGAAGACCACACCCTTATCTTTCGTTCCGTTAAGGCCAGGTGTTGCGCTTGTTTTGATCTGCCTTATCAGTATCAACAGTGATGTACTTACAATACTTACAACCATAATAATATTTTTATAATATTATGACAATAAAAATAATATGGTAATAAAAAATTAAATAAAAAGCAATACTACAACTACAAGTAGTCCTACTTAGTTGTATAGCGCATAGGCCTATCCCCGCTCTACACATATATCCCTTATGCGCGTTTCAATCTGTATTATTACCCCAACAAACCCTAAAAC